CCCTGTGTACCTTGGTGTCAATTTTCTTGGCTTCGATAGCGTGGAACGCTGCTTAGTATCAGACTTGGAATCAAGGTATGACTTTATTCTTGGCTGGGACACTATGCGCCATGGGTCGAATGGAGGTCGACGACCTTGGGCGCTACGCGCACGTAGCTTTGGTGAGTCATGAACCCACCTCTGCTATGAAACAGGAGCGCTATTGGCGCGGGCACTGGACCGGGGCGGTCAATGTGCTGGATATCGGAGTATCCGAGTTGTCGAACACTGAATGTGTATTGGACAAGAGTTCCGAGTATGGCTCGCGGGCTGAACGTGGAGTTGCACTGCTCACCCATCCACACAGTGTGAGATGTCACAGCCGGTGACCAAATTTTGTCTCCGCTGCATGTCAAGAGTGGCATAGTCCGAGGCATCGAGGGCGAGGCCACAGTGATGCACGTTGAGTGGCACGTTTTTCACTGAGCACTGTTCACGTTACGTAGCAGTTGCTTTATGCAAGGAGTGGCATGGTCGGACGAGGCCCTAGGCATCTTGGTTAACGTCCTTCCGATGCGTGTGGAGTGGCATGTTATCCATCGGACGAATGCTGCGGAAAGTGCAGCTCTTCGTCGGATCTTGTTGACAACATCAGGGCACCGATGGAGAAGGGAGTGGGAGCATTGGACGACGCTGAGTGCGTGTTCCCACTGGTCTCGATGAGACGTAAAACTTCTATAGAAAGGAAACGGCAAGGCCGTATGTTATCTGCAAGACTAGGGCGTCGACCCTGACCCAGGATGTTCTACAGTAGATTGCGCACAGCTATACACCTTTGTCAACGGTATGACAGGGGGACAACGACGAAACCGTCGAGGCTATGAATGCTCTTCTTGAGCTGGACGAGATGTCCTTGAAGAGTTTGGCAGTGCCTTAAAGGCAGGCGATTCAGCCGAGGTGGTCATAATACGATAAAAGGGTATCTAGTCGTCGCTTCTGAATGAAGCTGTCCTGGAGGACACCAAGAGGGTGCTGAACCCACGAAGCGGATCGTCGATTCTGAAGGATCCCTCGGATTCATACTCTCCTTTAATAAAGAAATTTCAAGACGTCGGTCCTACCACTGGACCGAGGTGTGTGTCATGAGATTGACCTGGCTCCGAGAACCAAATACTACGCAACACGCCAATGCCCCCTGCCCAAGGAACAGCGTGACTTCGTTGACGCATTCTTCTGTGCGAAGAACGATGTAGGAATGGTGCGTGAAAGCAAGTCTCCCCATTCGACATCCACGTTTGTGTCCGGAAGCGGCAAGTAGCGTATTGTTCACTCTTATAATGAGCTAAACGCTGCCACCATTCCGGCACAGACGCTGATTCCCTGGAAGGATGTTCTCCGGAACAATATGGTTGGCTGTACAAAGTTCAGCACACTCGACTTGGTCGATGGGTTTTACCAATTGCTCGTGAGAGCGAGTGATATTCCGCTGACAGCGGTGAGTACTTCGAGCGGGATGCTCTGAGAGTGGCCTGTGATGCCCCAAGGGTTGTCAAATGCACCAGCAGCATTTGATCGTCTTGTGGCGTAGTTCTTCAGGCCCCACAGGGCGTAGCACAGACACACTTCGACGACATCTTCGTCCACAGTCGTGCGGGGCACGGGAGGACAGATGAAGAAAAATCATGGTTCATAGAGAGCGGTGCTCAAGTGCAGGCGCATGAATAAGCTGTTTGCTGGTGCAGATAATTGCAACCTCGGCGCTGAGGGAATCCTCTTTTTAGGGTTCTTTATCAAGAAGCGTGGCCTTCGAGCGGATCTCACTAAGGTCAAGGCCAATGTGGTCTGGCCGGTTCCAAAGTACCAAAAGGACTTGCGCAAGTGGCTTGTCCTTGCCGACTACTTGCACAAGTAAAGCGCAAATTATGCTGAAATGGCACGGCCATTGTTGAATGTCCTTAAGGAGGATACGAAATGGTGTTGAAACACCGTGCATCGGGAGGCATTTGACAGAAACAAAGACAGCCTCCTTCATGCACCAATAACTTTCAATGAGAGTATACAACTCTTGAACAAAGACCACCAATTCCTTCTTGCCTTGTCGGGCGGCACGGAAATCGCACGCGATATGTCTCGTTAGGCGGCGAGAGCACTCGTAGAAGCTGCAGCTTCAGCTCAATCCAGGAAGGAAACGCCGCTTTAACTGAAGCACCGCACCATTCTCTCGCTCGACCACCGAGATTGGAGATGGCCAGCACCACGCGCTGTTGGTTGATCTAGAGTACGGCGGACGCCACGGTCATCTCGACTTCTCTTCTCTCGCCCAGAGTAAGAGATTTTCTCCGTATTTGCCCTTGAATGTCTTGACACTCACCATGAGCGGCTTTAGCCGGCGAGTCATCCGTCGTTGACGGTGGCGTTCGACGCCGACATCTTCTGTTGTAGCTGCTCTAGCAGAGCATTTATATAGCTTGGAAACGCCTCTAAGCGCGCGCTAATTGCTTCAGGTTCTTCCGAAAAGTAGTGTTACAAGCCCTCAGGGCCAAGCAGAGACATCAGCTTTTTGAGCGCGTCCTGCATGCCCTGAGTAGGCCACCTAGCAACCTCTACGTTTCCACGAGGTTTTTGTTGAACAACTAGGATTCCGTTTCTTTATACCCCTCAGACGGCCGATAAAGGGGGTATACTAAGCGTCGATGGTTGATACTGTTACAAATGTGACGTCTTCGAGGGCCATGCCACACTTCGGCTGGTTTGCTCCATCCTCACATTGGGTCAGTCGTAACGACCCAGGTGTAGATTGATTACAAGTGGTACCCAGTGCAGCGGGGCTGCGATAACTATTTCGTTTAGATTAAGGCCGGTTATCTTCGCTCTATACTTAGAACCAGTACGAGTTCTAGCGGATCGCAATCCACTTACTCCAAGAGTATTTTACAACCTTAACCCAAGGCAGATTAACTCTTCCGTTTAAAATGTAAACCATATTTCTCGTTTTTATTTGCGGCAAAGCTGCTTATATTTAAAGCTATATATTTTCTCATCTATATAATTTAACCTTATAAAATGTATAACTCAGCCACGTTGTGGCTTTTTGTAAAAGTGTAACCACACCCTTCATAATAGTGCACATAATACTCCGTAACTGCTAGTCTGCTCTATTGTTTTGGACATCTCTTAGAATTCTTTAATTTAGACAAATACGAAATGTTTTGTTTCCTGACTCTTCTGATACAGTTTTCATTGCCAATGTGTACCTCGGACCCCTCTACCGCAATCTTTTTTACCACTGATACTCCAGTGGTTATGAACAGGCCTTTGCATATGATGCAAATGCCGTATTTGGAATTAAAGAACGGTATGCACTCGAGTCAATACACGGCATACAAGGTAAAACGACTTGGGATGAACAAAACGAAAAAAGTTTTCAGGATTGGTGAGAAACTGTTTCGAATGTAGTATCCCTCGACAAAAAAAACGTGGGCGAGCTGCGGTGATCATCTTTTTTCCTTTTAAAATACGAAAATTTTTGATTTTAACGGGGGCAGTATTTTAAAAGGTGTAGATTAGTCTTTCGAGAATCTCACAAGCTTTAAAATTCAAATCTAGTTAATGACCAGACCATATTAAACTCCACAGTGTCTTCAAGGCTTGAATTACATGTTGTAGACGGGGGTCCTTTTCTGTTGCATCAGAACAATGCTTTCAATCTGTTGTACACATTTACAATGCGACAAACGGCTGTGGTGAATTAAGACCAGGTCCGAAATGCCACGTGGACAAAAAACATCACATGCGGGTGTAATATATGAGGAATTTTTGCTGGCATCAGAATTGTTACGATTTCGAGTGGCTGTCATATAGGACTGCGTGTGGCTTTATCCATTAGGCCTTCATGAAAACCCATTTTTTTCAAGCTAACTATAGGCTGTTAGGGCTCAGCCGACTGCGATGCCAGAGTAACGGCATGTCCTTGCGATTCTCGGCATCGTAATTGGTTTGTGAGAAAAAATAATTTCAGATCAAAGCGGCGTCGAGGCAGGTTGCTTCAGTGGTCAAATACTGCTTTGCGATCTTTCAACAACCACCAACTGACGCGACTCATTAAAACTCAGAGCGTTGACAACAAAAGAGAACATGCGGCTTGAAATTGATCACAGAATCGTTTGGTTTACTCAAATTCCCGATTAATGCTGTTAACGATGTGTAAAATCGTTGTCTGTCGAGGGCATTTTACGTCTTCTGTAAAAACAATATCAATCTGATTAAACAAACATCAAACACGGATAAAATATCGCTCTGTAAAGGTATCCAAAACACGCGAGACAACGCCGAATAGGTGCCCAGTCATTTTTGCCGCTCCATCTGTTAAGTGAGTCGGAGCAAACTTCACCAAAAGCTTCTCGATAACTTCGTACATGAGTACTTCTGTGTGGCTTTCTTCGGACGGGGTGCAATAACGTGAAGGTTCTGTATTCATGAATGCTAGAAGAATTCATTCCTCATATCGATGGATGAATGTTCATGAAATCCACTTGACCCATTGAACGCGACTGAAAACGCCCAGGTTTTCTTCAGGGTCTTCATGATATTGTGGAATTAAGCAGCACATACACTTCATGCTAACTTGGCGACTCTTCATTGCAGTACAATGGTTGGGGACAGATAAAGCTTTTTTGCTGTTGATATCGCTTAGAGGTCATTCGGTACGACATTTCATACCTTACGAATTTAACAGCTTCTTCGAACTGTTTGATCCGATGACTTTTCACATCAAATAAACTGCTGTATCTGATTAATGAGAATATAGAAAGACAATCAGATGCAAGAGACTCGTTGTCTTCTTCTATATCTTGCAGCAGAGGCTCTTCAATGATACATTCGATGTCGTTGATAGCCTTAAATATAACGCCAACGATTGCAGCACCACATAAGCGTCGAACTTGTTGCCATACCTAATGGTAGCTGGTGTACCGTCGAATATGATCATCCGTTCCGGCAAAAGCACGCAATATTTCTTAAATTTGGTGAGGTGGCTGATTTTGTGGTGTTGGCGATAATTTTGGGTCTATATTGTGGTCCCTCGAAAGTCTAGGCGTACTTGCATTCTTTGGAATGTTCTCTTAATCGACGACTAAGAAGAATTGGCCCTGACAGCTACAACATTGCCTAATATTGGAGTCTTGGGCGTCAGTATAGAGTCCGATTTCTGTCGAATATATATTTGTATCGGTGTCATTCCCGATCCGAAAGATCCTTGCGTGACCAAATAGCTTGCAAATGACATTCACATCATCCCCAGTAGCAATGGCACTACTGTGAAATGATAACGAGGGCATGAGGTCGTTCAACAGATTCTAGAACCGAATTTTCAGGCAACTTAACTTCCGCAGACTGCAAATCTAAAAGCATTCTTATTATAATTTTAAATTAAGGCATTCCGGAGAAATGAAATACAGGACACATCCGGTAATACCGGTAATTATGTCTTTATGATCTTGCCGCTGTCTGCATCACAGTCATCGTCGAGAGAGAATGCAGGTAAGCTGCTCTTCAATAAAATATTTTGCCAGCATGACTTGTCGGTAATCATTGTGTTAGGTTGCTATCCGCGCTTTACAGCGACTTTTGCAAACATTTTCCAAAATAGTCAGCACCATATTGGATATGTTAGCCGCTGGCACTTGCAAACAGATGGTCAGACGAATTGCGCGAATTGCGTTGCGAAGGATATTTTCCGGACCAACTGCGCGGAGTGACGACGGTGCTGATGCGGCTACTACCACTATCTATGCGGTACTCGCATCTACAGACTATGCGCCATTTCGCATATATAAATTATGATCCCTCAAGTGCCTTCAATACCGCTACGAGATAGCGCCGATCTTGTTGGGGAGGGGCTGTCGATCAAAATCAACCGGCTAATATCAACCCGCTACAATTTATAAGCTTCATATCGAATATCGATGAGATGAGGCGTCATGCCAATGGTGCGGGACGCTATGGCTGAAAGCCAAGACAAACACCAGCAACACGCCGATACCAGAGGCAGGTGGAATATTGCTGTGATCAAACATGTATTTGAGTGCGATTAGCCTTCCTGAACATGAAGGGTATGTGGTCTAAAAGACCAAGTTGTAGCCGCGCTACATCGAATTTCTCACAGTCCTTGCGTAAATGGTAGCACCAGTCTTAGTGGGGGAGGGGCTGTAGATAAAATTGATTATCCCGACTCAAGGCGTCATGTGACTGGTGCATGACTCTATGGCTGAAAGCCAAGATAAACGGAAGTGTTAGAGAGCACATTTATAAAACAGTCTCTCAAACACAACACACGCTTGTGCGACGAGAAAGCGATTCCCGACGTGGAGGAAGGACAACCCCGACTTGGAGGAAAAAAGACTAGACGCGTTAAAATGTAAATTTGCAGCTGATTTAAAATGAATTATGGTTTCTAGCTACATTCAAAGTACCCCAAGGGTTCCTAGTAATAAAACCTGGGGCTCCTGACTTATAAATCAAGGGTGTACTGAGGATAAGCCTCAGCTTCAACTGTTGCAAGATCGTGGGTGTACCGAGCATGAATTTCGACATGCTTGAACTTCAACTTTCGTTGATAGTATCCAGTGGAAGTGAGAGGCTAATGCCACCCAATTCCCAAGACAGAGACACGTCGGTCTCGTCGCCAGTACAGATCCCCAAGTAGGAAACAGCATTCTGTATCATACAGAATGTTTGTGACTTCATATAAGATGCCACGTCTGCATTTGGGAACATCACACTGTAGTATTCTTTTTATCAATCCCTACAATGCATACAAAAGGTACATAATGTAATGACTAAGAGTAGTCCATTACACCATAAGCTGAACAAAGATACTTCGAGGATCGGATGAATAGCTTGAACAATGGTTAAGTTTGTACGCTTCACCCAGGAATGGAGCCGAAAATACAATAAGTAGTTGTCTAGGTCGCTATGCTGCTGCAGCAAAGGTGCCGACTCCAGACTTGAAAAGTGCAACCGAGTTGCCGTGCACCTTGCACACAGATTAGATTTATACACTATACCTATGAAGGGAGCTGAGAGCAATAACTAGTTGTTTAGGCTGCTCTGCTGTTGCGGCAAAAGAGCAGACTCCGGACTCGAAGAGTGCAACCGAGCTGCCGTGCACCTTGCACAAAGGGCTAGGCTTGTATAGTCCACCCAGGGGTGGTGCCAAAAGCTTTTTAAATAAGCATTTGTTGAGGTTGCTCTGCTGTTGCAGCAAATGTGCCGACTCCGGACTCGAAGAGTGCAACTGAGTTGTTGTGCACTTTGCACGAATTTGGGTTTGTAAACTCCACCCAAGAGTAAGGCTGAGAGCACCTACAATAAGTTTTGTTTATATTGCTCTGCTGTTACAGCAAAGGTGCCGACTCCGGATTCGAAGAGGCAACAAAGGTGCCGTACACTCTGCACAAAGGATGGGATTTCACACTTCGTCCTGAAGTGGAGCTCGAAGCATTTACAATAGCTGAATGTTTAGGTTGCTCTTCCGTTGCAGCAAAGGTACCGACTCCGGACTCGAAGAAAGCAACTGAGTTGCTGTGCATCTTGCACAAATATGAAGTTTGTACGCTCCACCCAGGAGTGAAGCCGATAGTTCTTGCAATAACTAGTTGCCGAGGATGCTTTGCTTTTGCAGCAAGATTGAGCGTAAAGCGCCAAGTGCGCAAAACTTTTGCTGAAAGTCAGAATATGTAGAAATCACATGCAGATGAAAGACTTACGGTCATGACAGAAAATTCGCAGTGAGCATAAAATTGTAGACCGTTCTTCTAGAATTGTAGATCCCATATGAAAAAGAGAGCAGCAGCGATATCGATGAAGTCATTAAACGCGATATCCTTTCTTAATTCATTTTGATTTTTAATGAAATATTTTTGAGTATAAGTTCGGTATATAATTAAGGTCTGCAAATGTAATCGTTTGATGTATTAAACTGTTAGCTTGAATTTTTTTTATTGGAATTGATTAATAAATACTCAAATAAAACAATAATGCTTATATACAGTATGAGCTTGTGAATATTTCAACATACTTTAAAATTAGCTAGACATACAAGCTTCCCACAACAGGCCCATAGATACTAATGAGGCTATAGGAAGATACGTGTGGCAGTGCGATCCACATTATCTTGCATGAGGAAGCGTAGAGGCAGTACAAGTAAGACACTTATATGTACAACAGAATTTTTTTAATACTCCGCAAAAGTCTTTCATAAACATTCGTAAAAACTTCGTAATTACTTGAAATTGCTTTTTTGCAACGTGTCAAACAGAGGACAGTCATAAAGTCTTGTAAAGCAGCAGCCATGGCACCGAAATCCAAGGCGAAGAAGAGTGTTGCTGCAGTCGAAGACGTTGATAATGAGCCAATCTTTGACGAAGTGGCCTCCACAAAGCAGTCTATCGACCACACACGTGTTGTATTCGGTGTAGATCTCGACGATCCGCGTGATGCCGAGGACGATATGAACGAATTGGTCCCCGTCGCTAAATACGCAATTTTGACCATGATTTGTCTCATGTCGTTCTCCATTCGTCTCTTTGCTGTTGTGCGCTACGAATCCGTACGTCATGACTCTTGTATCTATTTAATTGCGTTTTGTTAAATTTAAAAATTGGTTTATAGGTTATTCATGAATTTGATCCGTACTTTAATTTTCGTACGACCAAATACTTGGCTTCGGAGGGATTTCTTGAATTTCTCGACTGGTTTGATGATCGTGCATGGTACCCTCTAGGTCGTATCATTGGTGGAACTATCTACCCCGGTTTAATGTACACGGCAGCGCTCATGTATTGGGTACTGAATCTCTTGAATATCTCAATTAATGTACGGAACATGTGTGTCTTCCTCGCGCCTCTCTTTGCAGCTAATACGGCCATTGCTAGCTACTTATTGACAAAAGAAGTGACAAAACGTTCTAGTGCGGGTCTCTTGGCTGCAGCATTTGCTGGTACTGTACCATCGTACATTTCTCGCTCTGTTGGTGGTTCATACGATAATGAAGGTGTTGCAATCTTTGCACTTATCTTTGTGTTTTACCTTTGGATCAAAGCGGTACACACGGGCTCCATGTTTTGGTCAGCAGGCTGTGCACTTGGGTACTTTTACATGGTTGCAGCGTGGGGTGGCTATGTCTTTATCATTAATATGATTCCTATCTATGTTCTTGTCATGGTCTTTGCTGGACGCTATACGCCACGTCTATACATTGCATACTCGACGTTCTACACACTTGGCAGTCTCTTGGCCATGCAAGTGCCATTTGTGGGCTTTAACGTTATCAAACAAGCCGAGTGTGCGGGCTCTCACGGTGTGTTCGTGCTGCTACAAGTCTATTGTTTTGTGAACTGGTTGCGTCACTATATTTCCGCCGAGTCATTCCGTCGTCTCGTTTTAGTGGGTGCTGGACTCTTGGTTTCCGCCGTAGCGCTTGCACTTTTGGTCTTGCAATTGATGGGCAAAGTCCAGTGGACGGGACGGAGTTTAACACTTTTAGATCCGACTTATGCGTCCAAGTACATTCCCATTATTGCTTCAGTGAGTGAACATCAACCCACAACATGGACGTCGTACTTTTTCGATTTGCACATTCTCGTCCCTTTTGCACCTGTGGGTCTCTATTTTTTGTTTCAAAACTTGACGGACGGCGGGATCTTTGCCATTTTGTACGGAACTGTTGCCTGGTACTTTGCGGGCGTCATGGTACGTCTTATGTTGACACTCGCGCCCATTGCGTGCATTCTTGGTGCTGTGGGTATTTCGTCCACATTACGTAAGTTTATGGGGATTTTAGCGCGTCCATCGACGTTTATAGTGCAGAAAGATGGTGTTCAGCCTGTACCGAAGATCCTGGCGCTTGCTGTAGTATGCGGTCTACTGCTCGTTCTACTGAGCTACAGTATCCACGCGACGTATGTGTCTTCAATGGCGTACTCGTCGCCTAGTATTGTGATTGAAGCCGGCCGTGCACAGAACGGTGAGCGCGTAATTTTTGACGATTATCGTGAAGCTTACTTTTGGCTGCGTCAAAACACGGATGCTGACGCCAAGATTATGTCGTGGTGGGACTATGGCTACCAAATGTCGGCCATGGCTAACCGAACGGTGATTGTAGACAACAACACATGGAACAATACGCACATTGCTACCGTTGGCCGTGCCTTGGCGTCAACAGAAGAAGATGCGTACCCGATTTTGCAGAGTCTGGATGTCGACTATGTTTTGGTTATTTTTGGCGGACTGTCGGGTTACAGCTCGGATGATATTAACAAGTTTCTCTGGCCTGTACGTATCGGTTCAGGTGTGTATCCTGATGATATGCCTTCAGAGAGTGAGTACTACTCGGCTTCTGGCAACTTTGATATTGGTCCCGGTGGTTCCAAGGTTCTGCACAACTGTCTTGCTTATAAGCTCTGCTACTACCGATTTGGTGAAGTTCTGACGGATTACCAACGTCCACCAGGCTTTGACCGTGCTCGTAATGTCGAAGTGGGTGTGAAGAATATCAAATTAACTCACATGGAAGAAGCATTTACGTCTGAGCACTGGATTGTACGGATTTTTAAAGTAAAAAAACAGCCTAATGTTGAACCAACAACGGCAATCAAGGAGGCACGTCTATCCGAAGCGTCAGCTACAGAGAATGACATTTCAAAAGAGAAGACGCGATTTTTGGGATGTACGACAGGTGAAGACATGCTAGGCAATGACCGCTTGTATGCTGGTGGATCTAGTGGCGCCAACTTTAACCTTGCGTTGCATCATGCAAAGGACAAGGGCAAACGCTACTTTGCCATCGCTCGAGTGGCGGACGAAGGCCACGCTTTTGCCTTTAATAAGCTTCCAATTAACATTGCAGATTTTGATGGTAACGATGAAGGATGTATGCGACCGTGCAAGGACGTAAGCTCGCAATCTTGCGGCTGTGCGGACGGTGGGTGTACAGACATGAACGTAGGGCCTGGAAAGGGACAGGAGCACAATCGTCGCTGGGCCATTTACGAACGCGAGACGAAGTAAGACGTACGATTGTCGGAATTAACTCTGAAGCCTGCTTCTAACAAAAGCACAAGTTATGGAAACAAGTGTAAGTGAAATAAATGATGACCAGCACAGTAAAAAAACGAGCCTTATGGTGCTGTAAATCAATTTGTTGGACGCAAGTGCCAACTAGTTCTTGCTGCTTTATCACATTCAATGCAAAGTACGCTTTTAACTAGAAGATTTGCTCTCACCGCTAGCCTGACGAGCTGCCTCTTTTTCTTCCTCAATTTTATCGCAAAGTGCATTCACCTTTTCGTCTTCAAGAGGCTATAAAACACAAATAAACGTTATAAGTGAGTAGCTAGTAGCCTTACTAAGACATTAACCACGTACCGATACTTTACCGCCCACTCGCACCACGACAATTTCAATATTCTTACTCCCCGACTCGACAACCTCAAGAAGCGCTTTAATTGCTAGTGTTATCGCTTCTTCTTCTGTCGCATTTTCCACATAGTGTTTCTCAAGAAACTCTCGAATGTTTGACGAATTGCGACCAGTAGCGTTGGCTTTCCAAGCTGAAAATGTACCAGACGGATCCGTCTGGTATAATTGTGGAATGCCTTGGCTGTCGCAGCCAGCAATGAGCATTGAAATCCCAAATGGACGTACACCACCACGCTGCGTGTACTTTTGCTGGACGCGTGCGACATAGCGGGCGACATATTCAACAGACGGCGCGTCTTCTACTGTAAGACGATAGCTTTGGCACTCAAGACGTGCTTTGTTCACAAGTACGCGGGCATCGGCTGTAAGACCAGCAAAAGCAATGGAAATGTGATCATCCACTTTGCAAATCTTGCGTACAGTGCGTGGATCTTGTAGCTTGGCCGTCTCCTTACGCTCGACCGCCAAAACAACAGCGTTTTGACCACGAACACCCACGGCCACAGCACCCTACACGACATCTTAACAACTCCTAGATGTTCAACAAGTCACTATAAAGCTCTTACTTTCTTAACAGCTTCCATGGCATATTCCACTTGGAACAAATGACCATCTGGCGAGAAGACTGTGATCGCACGGTCGTATCTTGACCATTTGAACATTAGAGATACAAAACAGGTACGCAACATATTCTCAAGTCAGCAATAATTCCATTTAAGCAGCACTAACTGCGCTACTATCCAGCTCAAGTGACTTAAATTGCTGCGTCAATCTACTCACCTTGACATGGTCGTCGTCTGCTTTTCGATCGAATGTGTTTGGATCCAAGGGGGATAATTTTTTTCACAATACTGACGTGTTATTGGCTGAAAAAATCCAGCACACTCTTAACATGCACCATGAGCTCTTCCTAGCGTTGCTAGGACACGTTGGCGACGTTATTGAACGTCGGACGGACGGGTTTTTCATCCGAAAAGATGCAAAGTTTCTATCTCAAGCTCAACGTAGTGTGTTAGATCGTTTACTGCAATTAGGTTTTGCGTATTCCGTCTTGAATCAGTTTATACGTTGTGTGTCGTTCCTACCAAGTGTTTATCTCCATGCACTTGCACAAGCGGTACAACGACTTTTAGATCGCTACACAGATGCTATTGTTGAGCTCGAAGCCAAAACATTGCGATCACGTGCTGTCTTTCCATTGTCAAATCTTTTATACGAACTAGAAGAATTTCGAGATCTTCTACCACAACTATGTGCTCTCGTGCATCGTCTTAATTTCAACACACAACGTATACACGGTCAAGAAGAGACAAAATGTGTCAAAGGTGCTGAATTGCTTACAATTGTGCATCGAAATACACACTCAGGCTTTCCACGAATTCGTCATTGTATGCAAGAATTGCTCTATTCATGCCATCGGTGCGTATTTGGAAAATTTTCTTTACATTGAATGTACCGACTTGAGTGTCGTTGTGACTAGGGTCGTGTATCAACAAATGATGGCATGGATGATACATGGTGAGCTTGTCGATCCACACGATGAATTTTTCATTAAAAAGAAGAAACAAGACGAATGGACGCATGATCCAGACGCTTCGGTGTGGCACGAATACTTTCTGCTTGACTTGGAGGCTGTTCCAATCGATTATTTTCCACTTGCTGTAGCACAGAGTGTCTTTGCTATTGGCCAAGCGGTGCGCATTTTAACACGCGCTGACCACTTTTCCCCCCATGACGTGCAGAATTTGATTCAGCTAGTATCAGAGCTAGCACATCAGCCCGTCTTTGATGCTTTGATGCTTGAACAGAAAGTCGAAATCGTTCGACGAAACGTTGCAAAAAGATTGCATGACGAAGTGGTAGTCAAGCTCAATTTCATTGGATATCTTCATGTGTTAAAGGATTTCTTTCTCTTAGCGCGTGGTGAAGTATTCCAGACGTTCATTGAACGCACGTTTGATATGATGCTTGTGCGACCCACGAGCAGGTCTGAGGATGATGTAAATCATGGCGTCTGGCACGACATTGTACACGAGTTGATACCAAATGACGAGAAATGGAGCCACGATTTTCACATGCAGGTTCGTTATATCTACCAGCCTCAAATTCGTTCCAGTGCTTATCTTCACGTTCTCTCCCACGTCAGCTGCCGCTCCAGACGTTTGCATTCAATAGCTTTGTTTCGACAGATCAGTTGAGTTTATTTTACTTATCGAAAGACTCCAATAGCAAGTGTCTATCCGTATCAATTACCGAATGTTGTCAATCTGATGACTCAATTACACCAAGTGGCTCCATATGGTGGCAGCACGCGCAGCAAGATGGTAAAGCGTTCGTCTCGGACTTTGTCTTGCAATGGGAACCTGACAATTTCTCGCGCGAAAGGCATTACGTGGCATTATTTCTTCGAAATGAAGGAGTCATGTGTCCTGCAATATTAAGAAATGGCTCCTTTGAGCTTCAAAATGCTCACGACGTGTATGTTTCCATTAATATAGCAATTGAATGTCTAACAAATGGAATGCAAGTAATGGCACAAGTCAAACCTTCGTATGGAGGCCACAATGGGATCCAAACATCGTTAATCCAAAATATTCGACGTGAATGCGGCTCCAGTCCGAAACTTCACGTTCGGATTCAGTATGCTCGAGAAGAAGGCACGACGGAAACGTCTACTTTACTCACTTACACAAAAATGATCGCTGTGATTATAAATGATGATGTGGTCCTCGAGACGCCGCTCGATCTCCCTCAAGTATTACAATTAAATGCAACGAAAGAAATGTATTACATTGGACTTGGACTCTCATCGTACGTACAATTAAGAGATTGGAATTTGGAAAAGTATCCGGCCGAAACGAATTGGCGTAAAGGTTCGTGTGTGCACTTGAAAGATTGCAACACGAGTGTAACCCCACGTGAATTATGGCACGCATTAACTTTACGGTGCCATGTACATTGGCCATTGCAACTTTTAGTTGCACCGGAAATATTACGTTCGTACGGCCATTTGTACCAATTTTGTTTTCGATTAAAACGCGTTGCCTACGCACTTGAGGTGGCGTGGAAACGATGCATGGGCCGGTCATACCAAACAAGTGGTACACGTGCAGCTGGTTTAGTACGCAGTCGCATGAGTTTTGTCGTCCGTACACTTGAGTTATACTTTCAGGTGTTTGTAATTCAATGCAAGTTCAATACATGTGTCGAGCAGATTAAAACGGCAGACGATTTTGATCGTGTCAAGCGCGTGCATGAGACTTTTGTTGCTAGTGTGGTCAAGAGCTGCTACGTGCATACAAAGACTGTGGCGTCAGCATTAAATGAGTTGCTAAACTCTTGCTGGGACTTTGCTGAATACATGCTGCAAGAGGATACGAATACAGAGCTCTCTTTTGATTGCATTGCGCGGTTGGACAAGAAGTTTCACCGTCGCTTTGAATTTCTCTATAGTGTCTTGCAAATTAGCGAAGCCCGTAATTTACTCTTTTTACTGGATGGTAATGGATACTTTACAGCAGAACGCGAACGCAAGAATCAGTTTCGACAGTAGCAGATAGTAAATCAAAGGAGTGAGGTTTTAGTGCTGGTACCATTCGGTGTATGGAATCGTTTTAGTGCAGTTAATTGCGTGCGTGGTACAAAAAAAGCATACAAGGTCTTTTGGGAATGTTAACACTTCTAGCAGGAATCATACTGTTTTCCAAATCTTAAACTTCGTTATTTTGAATGTGGTATAGTAACGCGATCACCCGATCTCGCCCCTCGGCGTCTGCTTGCAGCAGTGCACAGGCGATGGCAAAGTCCGAAGCGTCACAGACGACACTTTAAGGACGATCAGGGTCTGGGAACGCCAGTATTGGTGCATGAAGGAGGCTGTCTTTGACCCTATCAAAAGCCTTCCGATGCTCGGTGTCCCAACACTATTCCGTATCCTTTTTAAGGAGATTAGACAATGGCCGTGCCAATCTCGCATAACTTGTGCGAGTAGTTGTCGAAGCCATGCCACTTGCGCAAGTCCTTTTGGCTCATCGGAACCGACCAGCCGGAAGGCCACACTTCCTAATCGAATCTCGCCAGCTTAAGTCTGCAGAGATGAACTACTCTGTCCACGAAAATAAATTATTCGCGACGAAGTATGTATTTGTAAAGTTTATTTTCCATTTGCTTGGCTCGAAACCGTTTGTGATCTACACAGATCATGCGTCATTACGCACTGCGACTCAGTCGCCTCACCTCTCGCAGCGGATGGCAAGGTGGCTGTACTTCTTCGCAGAGAATAACTTCGAGGTGAAGTATAAGCCAGGAAAGCAGAATGCTTTGGCTGATGCATTGCTACGCAGACCGGATTATGAGCTTGATCATGTCACGATGGAGACGCCGTCAGTGACAGATTTGATCCGCGCCGCATACGCGGGTGATAGTTGTGTGTAGCGCTGCTACAAGCTCTCGGGAGCAAGGAGTTTGGAAACTCGGATATGAATTTGTTGGCGCGAATGCGCGCACAGTTTCACCGATATTCGTTGAATAACGGGTTGCTGTATTATAGCATCGATTCGACGGATACGCAACGAATTGTGGCTCCTCACGATGAGGATGTGAAGTTTTGTATCCTCTATGAGGCCCACGACACTCCACTCAGTGGTTATCTTGTTGTCGAACGACACGATCCACAAACTGCGTCGCTGTACCCACACCGTCGGTGGTGTTCGGCACTACTGCAAGAAGAGCCATCTTGCTCAAGCGGTCCATACAGACCACCACACTTGTGTTGCCCGCTGAGTCCTTCGGCAGGCCAAACACAAAGCACGTACTCTTGGACTGCCAATACCCGGCCAGCGGCGCCGCCGCGTTCGGAGAGGGTATCACCCTCTGACACGTCTCACAAGTTTGCACATATGTGCTCGTCCATTGGTACAGCTTGGGCCTCCAATAGCGGCAGCTCACAGAGCTCTATGTCTTCTCACGACACTTGATGCAAAGGGTAGTTGTCTTGATGCAGCAATCGTGATTGCTGCATCCACCATAGAGAGGCTCGTTCTCTCCACCACGGTAGTTAGGCATCGTTTTATACAAAGAACCACGGGTCACGACCTGCTTCGGAGATTCCAGGATTTCATGATGCATAGACTGACGGCTGCGTTCTTCTGGTCATCCAACGAAGACGACTGCAGTAACCTGACTACTGGAGCTTCTCCGATCGCTTCTCGCATCCGCTCGAGTGCCATACACTCATGTGGAGACAAATGAGGAAACATCTCATTCGTCAACACCTCGGTTCGTGATACTGATGGCCCGGGTGGCACCCCAACTCCTTCCATGTCGCTCGCACAAGAACAAGAGTATTGCAGCGGGGCTGCCATTGCTCTTTCGCTTAGAGGAAGCTTGGTTAAGGTCGGTGACCTTCGTTCTATATTTAGAACCAGTACGAGTGTAGCGGATCGCAATCCACTTACCTCAAGAGTAATTACAATTTTAAGCCAAGGCAAATTAACTCTTCCGTTAAAACGTAATCTGAATTCCTCGGCCTTATTTGCGGCAAAAAAACCGCCTATGTCAAAATTATAGGTTCTACAATTTATATAGTAAAACCTAACTGAATGTATAACTACTGGTTGTTCCAGCCGCGTAACTGACCTCTTGTTTAGTGTAGCTAAACAATTGTGTAATCACACCATCTTGTATAGCCCACGACATTGTGTGGTCACATCATCTTGTGTGACTCACACCCTTCAGACCAGGGCATGTGAAACCCCGTTACACTCTCCCCCATCAAGATTGTGAACACCTACAGCTCACATTCAACTGTCGCCTCGAACGAGGCTCGTGTGTCTATGACACCGCATGCAGCGGAGCTGCCGTAGCTCTTTGCTTAGTAAAGTTAACTAAAATTCATCGACCTTACATTCTATACTTGAACCAGTACGAGTATAGCGAATCGTAATCCGCTACCTCCAAGAGTACCCATACCTTTACCCAAGGTAAATACACTCTTTCGCTCAAATTTTTTTTATTTGCGACAAGGCCACCAATATCTGAAAATTAAGGTTCTCCAAATAAATAGTAGAACCTATTTAACATGCATAACTACTGACATTTTCGCCATGTAGTGACTTCTTGTTAAGGAGTAAGCGCACCAAGGTGTGATAACACTGACTCGTGTAATCCACAGCTTTATACGGTCACACAGTCTTGTGTGACCCACCCTTTCACACAAGGGTACGTGTAAGCCCGTTACACTCTCCCCCATCAAAATTGTGAAACCCCATAATTCACATTTAACTGTCGCCTCGTACGAGGCTGGCGTGTCTGAGACACCGTTACGTCCCTAGAACCATCTTTCTACATTCTCTGCACAATGAGCCCTGTGCATATGACACAAAAAACTCAGCTTAGCTGGTTCCGAGGGCGCCCGCGGGGAGTGCCCTTCTTCGTCTCCTGCACGCAGTGCAACTCCGGACGGTACGTTCGCGACTTAACGGGAAGCTCAATCCGAGCCCTCGGCAACTGGACGCCACTAACCACGCCCGCCACGGGCGATTGATTTTCTCGTCGAGGATTTGGCGGGAGTCGACAACGAGTCGTACACTCCTTTCCCAGCGTGGTAAAAAGAGGAAGGCGAGATGCGCCAACGGCGCGACGTATGCACTGCTCGAACCTTGCATACACCTTGTCTGTTTCACGACCTCTCGACTTCCGGGGGAAGTGGTATTATTACCAATTGCCTCGACGAGGCACAGAAGCAGCAGTTGAAGGCTGCCCAAAGCGGATCTCATGCGCTCGTATCTACGTTCGGTCTCAGACCCTCGTTTGGGATGCGGCTAACGCTCGGCGGACCCGGCTACTGAAGGGAAAGACGCGACTACTCGATCGTTAGGCGTCTACGTAGTTGGTCACTACACAAGCTGAGCCTGACCAGCGAAAAGCTCCGAGCTCGCATCTTGGTACCTCAAGAAACACCAATGTGATAGGTACCGCGATCGACTTCGAGATCAAAGAGGAGGCGCTCTTGTACCCGCAATGCGGACTATTGGTGCCCACCCCTGGGGGACCGCTGCAGATGATGAAGAGCTGTTTGAGCGATGGGTGCAGTGGCCCCGGAAACTTTCCTCGCTGTTTTACTTAAAGCGGAGCGACAAGAAAGTGGATGTGCGCGTAGAACGTCATCTTCGATTTGAGTATGCCAAACTCAAGTTGCAACGCCGACTTCCTGCGTATTGTCGCCCTGCGACACATGGAATAATCCATCACGCTCCCGCGAGCTCTGTGTTTTCTCACACGGGTGAGTGAGTCTACGACGACAGCAGCTCAGGCCCATAGCTTGAGCTCGGCTTATGGCTCTCCGGTTCCCGAGCTACTGCCGAGAAGTGCGGGATGCACGACGACGCGGAGCGTCATAATCCTTTTGAGCATATTCGTCCACGACGTCTAGGCAGTCTTGCCGAAGTGGCACCTCAAACTCCCACGAGTTCTCGAAGTTTAGGTATCCCCACCGCCTCACAAGATATTGGGTTTGATTCCGTCGGCGACGTCGACCCACATAGCGTCCCACTTAATAGTGGACGCCACCATTCCCATCGAGAAGAGTCGGCGGCAGACGATGACGACTTGGTCGATCGCCGTCCGATAACTCGCGATGCTTTTCGAGCTTTGGGTGACAAGGTCCGTCGGTCGTTATTGGCACTCCGCCGAGCATCTTGCCGAGGTCGCATACCGCTGTGCGGAAGACCTCAAGATATTGGAGCACTTTGGCACCGACTGTCTCACGTTGAGGACTACTGCGCTCGGTCAGAGCGGCTGTTAGCCGCCGAGCAGATAAATACGTCACTTCGTGCGACTGTGGAGCGCCTGGTGCCGTTGGAAACGGAGATCGCTGCACCCGTGCTCAGAGCCAGTTGCTGCTTCAGTTAAGGGTAGTAGAGCGCCATTGGGCGCCGTCCCGGCACCAACGATGTCGCGTTTGCTTGCGCCGGATCCCTGTACGGCTTAAGCAAGCCCACGTAAAACACCGGGTGGGTGCGCAACCTTCTCGAAAGGTTTAGCGTATACGCAAGACATCGCTTTGCCACGACCGTAAACGGTCAAATTAACCGTGAACGGAGTTTACTTTTTAAAGACAGCGGAGACTGCATGTGTAGGGAGGTTTTTAGCATTAAATAAAACCAGTTCTTCAACCTCAATGTTTTCAATATCTCTTCTGCTTCTTTCGTCTGCATATTCTTTTTGCATGTCTTGGCTTTCAGCCATCGCGAACGTCTCGTAGGACACTCAGTCTACCGTAGTTAACAAAAAGATTGCTTCTCAAAAAGATCACAATTTGGATAAATCCCATCACTTTTTAATGTTATTGTGATTTTTAGTTAACAAAAAGATTTCTTCTCAAAATAATCACAATTTGAATAAATCCCATCACTTTTTAATGTTATTGTGATTTTTCGTTCATTTCGAATTACCGTACCATTGTT